GGTTACTTGGGTGTTTTAAGGATCGCTAATAACGATTCTGACATTTATTTTTCAAAATTCAAAATGGCGGATCCAATATGGCGGACAACGAAATAAAAATTGATCAGATTGACTTGAAACTAAATACTTGGGAAAATTTATTGAATTTGTTTGGGTTAATCTGACATCAGTATGATAATTATTGGCAAAAAACGCGTCGTTGCATGCAGCTACGTAATACTAAAACCCTTAAATAACTTTCAAGCCAATTCAATTAATTTCTTATTTTGTCGTCCGCCATACTGTATCAGCCATTTTGGATTTTTAAAAACTGATTTCAGTTTCGTAATCAGCAACTCTGAAAATCCCCAAGTATTCAGTTTTAAATCAATCTGATCAATTTTTTATTTGGTCTTCCGCCATATTGGATCCGCTATTTTGAATTTTGGAGAAATAATGTCAGATTTTTAATCAGCGACATAAAAAACCCCCAAGTATTCAGTTTCAAGTCAATTCAATCAATTTTTTTATTTTGTTGTCCGCCATATTGGATCCGCCATTTTTAATTTTGAAAAAATAATGTCAGATTCGCAGGCCTCGAACTGCCTTTGGCATTGAAAATTACGTACTTTACGTACCAAAAAAGGAAAAATTAGTGACCAATTTAAGTACCAAAATTTGTAATTTTTTATTGAAAGTGCCGACTTTAAATCGCAAAATAGAATGATATAGTTTAAATAATTACATGGATTTCAATCAATATATTTTTATTAGTTTAGAAAATCTTAAAATTGAAATAAGATTTTATATGTTCTTATGATAAAATTTTACTTAAGAACTGTAAATTAAGAAGTTTTTGAAATTCTTTAAGGGTTCGTACCACTTTGTCAACTTCAAAAAATTAAATTTTTTTACGGATTTTGAAAGTATAGAATATCTCAAAAATGTTGTGTAAAATTTTAGAAAGATCTCAGCACTTTAAATATATTATTTTAGGTGACATTTGAACGCGTACAAAGGCTATGTACTTACATAGTTACTAGTTGAATCAGTAAACTTTTATATTATCAGTAACTCAATTTACATTTTTTCATGTTGTGTATTCTATTGTTAAATTTTAAATAATTAAACAATATTTTTTTTAATAAAACGACGTTTTCTATATAGTTAGAGAGTGTCTTTGTTAAAAGAAAAAAAAATTTTAAAATACCTAGATCAATAAAATTTACATGGATCGTAAAAAAATTCTACAAAAAAGCTAAATTTTGAAGCATGTATAGTGGTATGAACCCTTTATTAACAAAATATGACTTTCGTTTTCGACCGATCACTGTTTCTGAAAATGATCACCGTCAGCGGATTGATCGGAAAGTGAATGTGAATAAAAATAGAGAAGGCATAACTAAATATTTATTCACAATCTGTATACACTGAGAAAAATAAAAGGTTAAATATAACCAAGTTTTAGTTAAAAACAACCGAGCGATGCTGCTAATATAGCACTTGCAATGTGAATTGTTTGCAGTAACCGATCGAATACGATTAAAAATTTCGGTAGAAACTAGTTAAGACTACTCGGTTACGGTAGCTTCTTTCTCTGTTACTGTAACTAACAGTTTATGATTAATGCTCGGTAAACGTTAGTTAACTTACTCGGTTACTGTAGCCACCTAAAAAGGCTACAGTAATAATATAAACTTGAATATTGTAGTCAATTAGCTCTGTTATAATAAAGAAACCGATTAATTAATTTTAAACCACCCAACTCGATTAAAATATTTTTTGATCAATAAAATATTCCCTTGATAAAAATTATTTTCTTTTATTGAAAAGAAATCTATTTGATTAAAAAATTATGTTCTAATTTAAAGATAACCAAAATTTTCTGTAAATTAAAATTTTTTTTTATAATCAAACAAATCTCTTTCAAATAGAATAAAATACTTTTAACCTCTTTAACGTGCATCGTGTAATATGTCATCGGGGATGTAAGGTTTAATGCGTTTAATATTCTCCATTTCATTTTTATTTTTATGTATCTATTGTAGATGAATTCTATATTTGATGGCTGCTGTAACATAACACAGGCCTACAAATTTCAGACCCAGAAACGGGATAAGTCATTTCCGATGTAATTTGTCACCCTGAATCCAAAACTGGCAGCGAAATTGCTCTATCACGTCAGGATTCTGAGATATTCTAACCTAAAAGAGTAAAAAAGGCCATTTTTGGCAACATTCGACTCTCCATAAAATCTACAAAAAATTTTTTGTATCATTGGAACAACTTTTAAAAGAAAGTACAATTATTCACCTTTCAAAATATTCTACACCCGATCCGATCCGACTTTTTTTTACTAAGATACAACAATTTAAAGTTTAGGTTACACGACCTAAAAACTGAAGAAAGGAAGAAAAGAATAATTGGAAAGTACTTTAACTTAAGCATCTGATTCTTAATATTTTGGGATTGTTGATTAGAAAACCGATGTCGGATTTTCAAAATTCAAAATGGCGGATCCAATATGGCGTATGTCAAAATAAAAAAAATGATCGGATTCGCTTGAAACTTTTTACTCGGGGGGTTTTGAGGTCGCTAATTACGAATACGATGTCAGATTTTCGAAATTCAAAATGGCGGATGTAATATGGCGACATATTTTTAAAAAGTTTAACGGATTCGCTTGAAACTCTTCACTCGGGTGTTTTTGAGGTCACTTATTAAGAATCTGGTGTCACATTTTCGAAATTTAAAATTATTGTGGATCTAATGTGGTATTATATGTTAGTAAAATCGAAAAACGTAAAATTCGAAGTCTTTTGAGTACTTGAAAAAAAGATTTCCACACCTATAGATATCTAAATTGAGAAAAGATGTATTTGCAGGTCTAGATATAAGCAAAGAAGTGATTCTGTATTATATTCTAAAAACGAAACCAACTATACGAAGATCCTTTGTAAAAATATGTGTAAAGGTTCATAAAGAAATATAAAACTTTTAATTTTCTTTACTAAAAGAGTGTATAAATTATGCCCTAAATGTTCGAATTTTACGTTCTTCGAATTTACTAACATATAATACCATATTAGATCCACAATAATTTTATATTTCAAAAATGTGACACCAGATTCTTAATAAGCGACCTCAAAAAACCCGAGTAAAGAGTTTCAAGCGAATCCGTTAAATTTTTTAAAAATATGTCGCCATATTACATCCGCCATTTTGAATTTCAAAAATCTGACATCGTATTCGTAATTAGCGACCTCAAAAACCCCCGAGTAAAAAGTTTCAAGCGAATCCGATCAATTTTTTATTTCGACATACGCCATATTGGATCCGCCATTTTGAATTTTGAAAATCCGACATCGGTTTTCTAATCAACAATCCCAAAATATTAAGAATCAGATGCTTAAGTTAAAGTACTTTCCAATTATTCTTTTCTTCCTTTCTTCAGTTTTTAGGTCGTGTAACCTAAACTTTAAATTGTTGTATCTTAGTAAAAAAAAGTCGGATCGGATCGGGTGTAGAATATTTTGAAAGGTGAATAATTGTACTTTCTTTTAAAAGTTGTTCCAATGATACAAAAAATTTTTTGTAGATTTTATGGAGAGTCGAATGTTGCCAAAAATGGCCTTTTTTACTCTTTTAGGTTAGAATATCTCAGAATCCTGACGTGATAGAGCAATTTCGCTGCCAGTTTTGGATTCAGGGTGACAAATTACATCGGAAATGACTTATCCCGTTTGTGGGTCTGACAAAATTCTAAATTTTGTAGGCCTGTGTAATCAATAAAAATTTGTATCGCGTCGGTAGAAACCAGAATTGTAACAACACGACTCTCCGGAAAAGACGAAACGAAGTGACTGACTGACTGTGACTGACGATATGTCGCCTAGATATGTTTACTCGGTTAAAATCTCACAACTGAACGTAATTACATGAAACTCGGTTAATATTAATCGCATAGTAATTGTTTATATTCAAAAAAATAGGTAACAACAACCACGAAAGTTTGTTTCCATTATGCACATTTCAGATTGGTTAAGACAATCCTTTGGAGGATTATTTTTAACAGATGTGTTTTAACCATCTCAGCTCGGTTGTGATAATCAGTATAACTTAGTTTCTTTTAACCATATCTTATTTATTTTTAAATACTTTTTTTTAACCGAGCTATTTCTACCACTCGGTTAAACGCAATTTTTCTCAGTGTACATATTTTGATTTTTAGTCGAAATGGTCAAAATTACGTACTTTACGGACCTTTTGTCAAAATTACGTACTTTTAGGTACCAAATTCAAAATTACGTACTTTTCCTTAATTTATGTACTCAGTTCGAGGCCTGGATTCGTAATCAGCGACCCTAATAACCCCCGAGTAATAAGTTACAATTGATTTGAAACACGTTTTCATATTTTGACCAGGATTTAGTGATTCTGTCCCACTGTGGGACGTCAGTATACTACGATTGCAAGAGATCCATGCTATTTTAGTATATGTTTCATGCAACTGAGGTATAAGGACACGCCTCTTAAGCAGGGCGTTCATACAAAATTACCATAGGAAGTCTCCATACTAAAAACGCTTGATTTTTCTCTCCGTGTATAGAAACGTAAAAAAATGATTAGAATTTATTAAGAATGAATTATTTTATTATTATAAATTGATAGAAACAATTATTAATAAGAAATATTAAATAAAAAAATTATTTAAAAGTTCACCATCATTGCTAAACTTTCAATGCAAATTGGAAATTTGAGAAAAAAAATTTTAAATTCAGATTTTATGGCGTCAAATGTAAAAATGTGGCTTTTTCACCCCGTTCTACTCTAATTTATTTCTTTTTTCTAAATTTTTCATAAATGGTTATAAGTTCTGAAAAATATTTATTTTATTTAAAGATATTAATTAATTTATGAAGGGGTTGAGGTTAACGCCCCAGTGATGACTTTCAAAAATTATTAATATTATAAATTAATCTAAATGGTATAAACGAATGCATAAAGAAAAACTCAATTAATGCTGTAACAATATTTAACATCTTTATTTCTGATAAATATTGATACAGTTTTCTTACAATATTAAATTAGAAGAAAAATCCCAGAATTTTACCCCCAAGATGTTTTCTCCTAGCTTCTTCGTGATCCATAATACCTCCACTCGTTGTTAAAACCACATATCTACGAAAATAGAAAACAAATATGTCAAATATAAAACTTCTTCCATTTCAAAATATAAATGATTTTGCTGTTTTTTTATAAACATACTTTCTTTTAGATAAATTATTTATTTTATAAATAATTTCACCTACACAACGGTAATTTACTTGAGTTTTTTTACATGCAAATTATAAATCAAAATTAATATATTATCAATCAAGTCAATATGTATTTCAAAAATAAAATCGTGATTTCAGACGATCCTGTTTTTATTTATTATGTCACCGACACACATCCTGTTTTAGTATCGAAACATTTACAAAATATTCTACAATTGTTATTTAGTATCATGTAAGTTTTGAAGTGATCAAAATTTCGTTATAACCAATTTTTTACTTTACATATATTTAAAATAAAAAATCATTTCAAATAATTAACAGAAAAAATAAAAAAATTTTAATGAGAACATTTAACTATAATTATAATTACAATTTACACCAAGTACTAACGACAGGGAATTTGAAGTAATACCTAAGTTTATATGTTAAGAGAGAAAATTTCAGCATACTAAAACTTGAAAGACTATTTATACTATTTTTCTAAAACTAAATTCAAAAAATCTTTTGCACGTGTTCAATTTGAAATAATAATTTTAAACATTTTTAAACTTTACCCAAACTGTCTGCTGGGTAATAAATTATTAGTCCATTTTTCAATATCTGTGATTGGAACATCGAATCTAGGAGAAATAACTCCACACTTGTTTAATCTTCCTGTTAAGTTGACAACAACTTTGCCACTTCGGTGGTCATCGACGATTTCGAATTCTCCAATATACCCTGTAAAATAATAATTCAAAATAAACATTGATATTAAATATATTTATAAGAAGATAGTCTTTAAATTACTATAATAGTATTCTATACTGTGAAACACAAAGGCTCCGAACTGAATTTAGGAATTTTTTAACACGAATGAAAAAGCTCTTCTTTAGACACATTTTTTAAAATTCTATAACAAAAATAAATTTTACCAAAATCAGACTTCGCACTCGATAATTAATTTTAAAAAAAGGATCTTTAAGAATGATAAAAATAGTAAAAAGTAGCTATCAAAAAATTAAATTTGACGACTAAAAAAGAACTCGTTTTAGGCGATTCACAAAAATTTGATTCAATATTTCCCTGACTCTTTCCTGATTTCAATTTAAAATATTTACTCTTTTTTATATCCTGGTAATAAATCCAGTTCTAAATTTTTCTGAAGTTTTTTTTCCAAATTTTTAGTTAGAATTATTCAAAAATACGACTATATTTAAAAAAAATTTTTAGAAGTAAAAAAAAACATAAATTAAATTAAATTATTCAAAACTTGAATAACTTTTGTTGAATTTAAATATTTATTTTATAAATTATTATAAACAATTAATATTTTAAACAATGTCAGTGTAAAACATTTTAACAATTTTATCCTTTTTAAAAAAACAACTGAAATTTTTTCAAAATTCAATCATTTTTTTGGAATTTTTAAATAAAATTATTGAAAACTTAAAAAATTCTTTTAGAAAATAATAACTAATTTTTTATGATAAATATTTAAATAATAAGCTTTTACAGCGATTAAAATTTTCAAATACAGGAAATTTAAAAATCTTTTGAAATTTACTTATTTTCAGAAATTCATATTGTAACGCTTCTAATATTCAATTATTATCTACAATTACATCTAAAAATCATTTTTTAATCAATTCTTGTTAGAAAGTTCAACGAGAATTCAATTATTTAAATACAAAAATAAATAATAGATACTCTGTACGAATAGGTTTTTAACCCGTACACTATTGAATAATTAAATAAATAAATAAATTCATTATTGTTTAAAATTGAATTTTTATAAAGTGTTTTATCAAAATTTAATCGGAAATTCTTTCAAATAATTTTATTAAAATTTGTAATAAGCAGGCTTCGAAGTCTAGTAGCAGGTCAAAAAAAGTGTGAAAAAGTAGCATTTTGTAGCAAAAAGTAGCATATTAAAAATGAAGTAAAATTAGTTTTTTAAGTAAGAAAATTAAGCGAATATATGTTGTTGTCCAAAAAATTGAAAGAAAAAATACTAAAAATAGGAATTCACAAATTTTTTTTTAATTTTGATTTATAAACATAAAACATGAAAATATAATAGCTTCTTTGTCGATATTTTACATTAGAAAGTTTTATTTACATAATGAAATGTAATTGTTAATAATACTTAAATGAGATCTTTCATAAGAATTTGTTTTTTAATAACAGGCTCATAATTTTGAGAAGTTAAATTGACACCTTCTTTCTCCTTATTATTTTTTAAAAAACTATCAATAACTTTTTATCAGACATCTAATTTTTAAAAATGAAACGTAAACATTTTTTAGTAATTTACTAATAACAACTATCAAAATAAAAAAAATGGATTGTTTTTAGTCATATAAATTTTTTAAATTTTAGAATCCACATAGCCATAATTTTGTACAATAATAAATTATGAGCAATTTAATTCCAATAAAAAAAATTATAATTTTTTTTCTAGATAGATCTTAAATCTTTATAAATGATTTTTTTATTATTGAACAACCGACTTAAAACACTGTATTATTAAAAATACAATTAATATTTTTAAATTTGACATAAAGTTTGTAAACATAATATAATAAATAATCACGTTAAATAAATATTATTTTGGATTTTTAATCAAACAATTTATATAACCAAAAGAATTAAGTTTTCATTCTTAATTGATTTTTTATATACTTGATGAAACTTTTATAATGTCAAAAAAGGTATTACTATTAAATTATATAGTGAAAAATGAAAAATTTAGTTTGTAAATTTTTTTTACATTTTTTGGAAAAAAGTAGCATTTAGTAGCTTTTTGACAAAATAAGTAGCAAAAAGTAGGCTTGACCAAAAAAAGTGTCAAAAAAGTTGAAAAGTGTGTCACTTCGAAGCCTGAATAAGAATAATTGTATTTTTTGAGAAATTTATTATTTATGAAAGTCATTGAATTTTTGAGATGAATTTTATTAACATTTTTAAAAAAATTTAATTCCTGTGAAGAATTTTATTATTTGTGAAAATAATTGAATGCTTGAAAAGAATTTTCTTAAATTTCTTTTAAATAATTGAATTCTTTTTGACTAACTAAAAATTGTCTTCAAAATTTTTTAAGGGGTTAAACCACTCTAGAGCGTCAAAAAGAGGTTCTAATTTCAACATTTTTTTAAAAGAAAAGTTTAAAAGTAATGAGAAATATGTTTACATATCTCTATCAGGTACACTTTAAAGAGAACATAATATACTTTATAAATTTTTTTTTGTTTAAAAACTGCAGATGTACATGTACGTGATGGAAACCCTTTGTAAAAAGAAATCCTTCGCGGCCGGAAAATTGTACCAAAAACCTTTCCGGCCGCGAAGGATTTCTTTTTACAAAGGGTTTCCATCACGTACATGTACATCTGCAGTTTTTAAACAAAAAAAAATTTATAAAGTATATTATGTTCTCTTTAAAGTGTACCTGATAGAGATATGTAAACATATTTTTTATTACTTTTAAACTTTTCTTTAAAAAAATGTTGAAATTAGAACCTCTTTTTGACGCTCTAGAGTGGTTTAACCCCTTAATGGAAAATTTGGATTCTTTGGCCTAAACCTCAAAACACAAATTAATTGAATTTTTGTAAAATTTTATTCAAATTTTTTGAAGTGTCTTTAAGAATTTTAGAAACAAATTTTTTTATTTCAATTATTAGCGTATTTAAAATAGTGTTAATTCTAATAAAAAAAGTCGAATCTAAAAAAAGTATCCAAATAGTACCTAATCGTAAAAAGTAGCAATAATAGTAGTGCAATTCCACGCCACTTCGACAGCGTTTTGGAGTAAGCAAATGGATTTTAATGACACTCAGGGATTGTAATCTATATATAAAAAGAAATATTTTCACCAAAAATGAAGTCAAAATATTCGGTACTTTTTGAGATAGCAAAATTTTGAAAAAATTTTGAAATCGTTATATATCTCCCATAAAACTTTATAAAAACTAAAATTTTTTTTTCAAAAATTCAGGATGAAAAAACGAAAAAAAAATGTTAATAATTTAATGTTTATATAAAATTTTGTTAATTGGAAAATTTATTTAAATAATTTTACTTAACTTTTTTAATTAACAAAATTTTATATAAACATTATTAACATTTTTTTTCGTTTTTTCATCCTGAATTTTTGAAAAAAAAATTTTTAGTTTTTATAAAGTTTTATGGGAGATATAACGATTTCAAAATTTTTTCAAAATTTTGCTATCTCAAAAAGTACCGAATATTTTGACTTCATTTTTGGTAAAAATATTTCTTTTTACATATAGATTACAATCCCTGAGTTTCATTAAAATCCATTTGCTTACTCCAAAACGCTGTCGAAGTGGCGTGGAATTGCACAGTAGGTTTTAGTAAATGATTGCGAAGCCTGAAAATAGTATTAGACATTGAATCTGGAGAACCTGACAATTTAATTTAAATAAAATTTTTGTGCAATGATTTCTATCAAAATTACAGAGTAAGATAATTTATATTCAAAATTTTGCGCAAAACATTTCTTATTCAATTCTAATTCTGCTTCACAGTAATAATTCTATATTTAAGAATAAATATTTTGAATTTAAAATTAGTATCTATTATCAAGATAAGTAACATAACATTGCATTATTTTTTAAATTTAATAGTATAGGTACTAATTTATTATTAAGTATTTATATTTTATATTTTCAATAAACAAAAATTCAATTTATGATTATAGAACCGCAGTGACATTCACAACACAAGTAAAATATTTCTTAAAATATTTGACATTTATCACATCCTTAATCTTAAATTTTTTAATTTTGACTCCAGATTTTAAAATTAGCGATCGCAAAAGAATACAAAGAAAAAAATTTGTTCTGAACTAATTAAATTACAAAAATTAAAGATAAACAAATAATTAAAAAAAAACAAAGTTCTTTAACAATTTTCAAATCCATTTATTTACAATTCAATTTTACGAAATTGCGATTATTCGGAAATTCTTTAATTAATATATTAGAAAATAAACGCTTCATATAATTTCAAAAAAATTTCAATTATACTTTTTCGAATCAACAGAATTATTAATTAAACGTATGAAAAAAATTAGATTTTTAAAAATTTTAATTTCAAACGTTTTCTAAATTCTAATGTTATATTTTTAAAAATTAATCCTATAATGCTTTTAATATATTCAATTAACATCTAAAATTTTAACTGAAATTCATTTTTAAATAATTGAATTTATTGAATAATAATTGAATGTTTCTCAAAACTAAATTCTTCTAAAGAATTTTATTAACTTTTAAATAATTGAATTCTTAAAAATAATTAGATTTTTCGAGAAATTCAATTAAAATAATTGAAATTATTCTGAGTTTTATTATTTATGATGCAAATAGTCGAATTCCTCAAAAGAATTTTATTATTTATTAAAATAATTGAATTATTGCGAAGAATTTTATAAAAAATTCTTTTTTTTCGAAAAAATCTAAGACAATTCTTTTTTAAATAATAGAATTCCTGAAAATTTTTATTATTTGTGAAAATAATCTAATATATGCGTGAAAATTTATTCAATATTTTTTTAAATAATTGAATTCTTTTGGGAAATTTTAAGAAAACAGTAAAAAAATCTTTGAATATAATTGAAATTTTGAGAATTTTATTCAAATTTTAGAAAGTAATTGAATTTCGGTGAAAAACTTTGCTATTGATAAATATATTTAAAATCTTGACAAGAATTTAAAAAAATTTTTCGATAATAATTAAATTCTTGTGATGAATATTGTTATGTATGAAAATAATTGAATTTTGCAAAGGATTTTATTAAAATTCCTGAAAATAATTGAATTTATGGGAAGAATTGTGATATTTATCAAAATAATTGAATTCTTTCAAAGAATTGTGTTCAAATTATTCAAATAATATTAAATTTATATTAAAAAGTTGCAACTAAATTCAACTGAATTGAAATTTTGATTAACAAAAATTAATTTTTTTTTTAAAAGCGAAGCAAAATATATGTTAGTAACAATTGTTTCTTTTAATGGATTTTTTATGAAAACTCAGTAATTAAATAAAAGATTTAAACTTTCTGACTATAAAAATGTAAAAAATTGAAATTAAAATGTTTTTCATGAAGTCTTTCCAGAATAAACTGTTAATTGTAAACGCAATCGTAAAGACAAATTACAGGACTGAGATATTATTTCAGTCTTCCGCCAACTTATTATTTTGTTTACATTTCCTAACCTAATTAACAATCTTTTTCTGGAGAGACCTTTTTTATAATAATTTTAAATTCATAAAAAAACTTACCATGCTTCATCATGACAGTCAAAAACTTGACGATAACCTTGGAGCAAGGCCTCAACAAAACTTGCCTCTTTCCACGCTTTTCGGCATTATTAATCGACTTAAGAGCGTCGCTAAGAACATTCATACGCACCATGACTGAAAGAAAAAGATTTCATATAATAATTTATAAAAAACCATCAAATTAACTTCACTCAACATTAAAAATAACATCACAAAAATTCCTTCTCTTTATAACACATGTTTTTTCTCACGTGCTAACATTGACAGACAAAATTATTTACTTTTTTAATTTCACTCGTAATTATTCTCTTGTTTATTTTTAAAACTGGACAAAATATAAACAAGAAAAATTAAATTATTAAAACCAAATTTGCTTACTATTTAATATTCTTTTCGGAATATAAATTAAAAATAAACGGTAGCACAAAACTAAAGTGTCACTATTAACCTATAAAACAACTGCACATCTATCAACTGATAAATTTAACAAACCCCTGTTCCCATTAAAAAATATTATAATTCTTATATATAATTTAAGTTGTAGTTTCTTAATTTTTTTTTAATAATGAGATTTAATTTACGATTTAATAGATTACCTGCGATTTAAATTTTGTTTACCGGATCGACATTAAACACAATCGGATCACCGAGAAAAAAGAAAGATGGACGTCGACAGCATGGCATGGCAACTAAAATTCAATGTTGGTACGCCTTCAGGGTTGGGTCACACGACATTTGGGAAAATCAGGCTGTGTTTACATGCTTGCGTTCGAACTCTGCGTTTTGCGTTGCATAATGAAAAACAGAAAGAACAATATTTACTTCTATCCTTCTTACACTTACTTATTTAAACTAGGCCATGAGTGCAAATATAGCGAACATATATCTCCCTCTCTCTTACACTCATGGCCTAGTTACAAAACGGAGCGCAAAACGGTGCCATGTGACTGCACGTTTAGGGTGCGATCCCATGAATGCAGAATACGTCGACCGAAAGCAGAAAATCATGAGAGTGAAAAGAACAACAATATCTATCTATCTCTTTCGCACTCATGATTTTCTGTTTTCGGTCGACGTATTCTGCTGTAATGGGATTGCACCCTTACACTTTCGGTAAAAATGGTCCAGAATGGAAAATCTATATTGGAGTAAGAGAGACAGGCAGTGTATCTGTCTCTCTTACTCCAATGTAGATTCTCCGTTCTGGACAATTTTTACCCACAGGGCTGACACGACCAGCTTACATAGTGTCCAATGTGTTGAAAATGGCCACCAGATGTCGCTAGTAGTAACTTTGTCCATTCCGCGTTCTGCTATTCTACTCCTGTTTAAATTGTTTCTTGTTTACATCACGTGTTCAAGTCGTTCAAATCGTTGAAATAATTTCAGTTTAATGGATTTAATTCACTGAATTTCATTATTATGGTTAAATGCATCGCTCCCGGATGCAAATCTGGTTACGCAAGTAATCCAGAAAAAGTGCATTTCTTAACCGTACCAAAAGAGGAATCTGTATTAAAATTGTGGCAGAAAGCCATATTGCGGAAAGATTTTACCGTCAAACCCGGTCAAAGTGTTTGTGAAAAACATTTTCAAAAGGACGAAATTTTATTTGAAAAAATAATTACAGGACCTGACGGAACTATTCTAGGAAGGGTAAGTATCGACCGTATCGACTAAATTAAATTGTGAGTAAGTAAATTATATTGCTAATACAGTCATTGTCGTTTCCTGAAATTTCATTCTCTCTATCATAAATAATTTATATTTAAAAGTCATTAATTACAATTTTTAGAAAGTATATTATTTATATTTTTTATTAAACGAGTATTTTGTAATTTATATAAATTTTGTTGATTGTTACTGATTTTTTTGTATATTATTTAATAATCTTACAATTTTTTAATGTAGAGTCCTTATAAATGTGCAAGATTGAAAAAGGGAGTTTTGCCGTCAATATTTCCTGGCTGTCCTGCATATTTATCGAAGGCTTCTACCAGTACTAGAAGACCACCAACGAAACGGAATTTTGAAAATAAAAATAATGAGTGTGATGCTGGAAGTACGTCGAAGAGGAAAAAGAATGATCAATGCATCAATTTAGAAATGGAATGGGATAAAAATGAAAATGAAACGAATAATGAAAAATCTGAACACAATCCACAATTTATTTTTGCTACTCTTTTGGAAAAGAACGATATTTCTTTTCCAACTTCTTGGTCTCGACAAAATATTTCTTCCGAAGGAATTAATGTCTTGCAATTCAGTCAGTGGATCGTAAGAAAAAAGGATACTGACTTTGAGACAGTGTGTACCAAGCAAGTCATTTTAAATAGCACTATGGAAATTAAAATTAAAATTATGGGCAAAAATATAGAGACTGAAAAATTTAACTTAAAAACGAATGAAATAACTGCAATAAATGAACTCGAGGATGTAATTAAAACTGTTGATGAACGTAGGGTTTGCTCTGGCTGTGCAAAAATAAATGCTGAAGAAAATATTATAAATTCGATTACTTTTCGTGATAAAGAAGGATATTTACGTCATAAGTCTTGTCCTTTTCTTTTAGAGACTGACGAAAAAAATAATGAGTGCAAATTTTGTATTCGTGTAAGGCATACTCTAAATCAAAAAAAAATGCGTATTCAAAAAAAAAAAGAGAGTACAATGAAATATTTAAAAATAAATAATCTCAGCCCAGAAAGAAGAAGACAAATAGAGTATTTAAACAGGAGATTGCAGTCTAAAAAAAGAGCAAATAAAAGAGCAAAGCAACGAATTGACGACTTAAAAAAGGAAGTTGAATGGCATCGACAAGAATTGAACAAAACAGACACTGAAGTTCTGAAGAAAATTTTATCAAATCAAAAAAATGTAAGTTCTAATGAGCATACAGTAATAATGGCAATTATCGCGGCTGCTGAAAAAAAAAACCCGAAAAACAACAGATACTCTGATAAATGGGCAATTCTGTGTCTACTTTTACACATGCGTTCACCTGCGGCCTACAGATTGTTGAGGGATAATAAAATATTACCATTGCCGTGTACGAGAACCATCAGAAGGTATTGAAAATTAATTATCATAAATATTAAAAAATGTTCATTCAAAAAATAAAATAATAGAAATTTAATTTATATTAAAAAAAATTTTTTTTATTATAAAGTTCATTACTAATGCAAATTATTTTCAATTAAACTTTTCTCAGGTACTTGTCTCACATTGACATTCCGTGTGGTTTTGATCCACGTTTCTTTGAAGTTTTAAAAAAATATTTTGAAAACAAATCTGAAGAAGAACGTGACGGGTTAATAATATTGGATGAAATGAAGACACGGAAAGGTTTACTTCTAGATCAAAATACTATGAAATATAAAGGTCTTTCAGATCTTGGTCTTGAAGAATCACCACAAGATATTACCCAAGATATGGCGAATTATGGATTAGTAATTGCTTTTCAACCACTTTATGATAACTATACACAGCCAATTGCTGTTTTCGCTTCCAAGGGACCTGTCACTGGCGATGTTTTGACAAAATTATTGCTCGAAGCAATATGTTTCTTGGAAAAAATTGGAGCAAGAGTACACGGATTAGTTACAGATGGAGCGTCAACTAATAGACGAATTTGGACTGAACTAGGGTGTAGTGGGAAAATGTCGTCATTAAAGTGTTCAATAGAGCATCCGACAGATGAAAAACGTGAATTTTTCTTTTTTTCAGACACGCCTCATCTAATGAAAAATGTTAGAAATTGTTTAGCAAATCGAAAAAAATTACTAGTAAGTTTTTAAAAAATAATCAGGGTGGCCACAAGTTTCAGTTTATCAATTTCCCTGACATTTCCCTGACAATTTACTGACATTAAAATTACTTTCCCTGACAAAATTCTTTTTAAAGGAAAATATGAATGTTTACGGAAAATGGGTAAAATTTATGAATTTGAATAATTTCTAAAAATTACAATTATAACCCTTCCTGAATTCAAATATTTTTTACAATTTTCAACTAAACTTCATCTCTGAATCAATTAATTTAAATAATTTCCCAAAAGTTCTTCTAGAATTCAATTATTTAAATACAAAAATTAAATTTTTTTTAATAATTGTAATTAGATAAATATAATAGTTTTTCAATTTTGATTAATTTCCAAACAATTAAAATTTGGTTAAATCTTTTAGAAATAATTGAATTTTTGAAAAATATAAATAAAAATTATCAAATTTTTGAAGAATTTCAATTATAAACAGGACTCCAAAAAGTAAAATTTCATAAAGTTTTATTTACATTGTTCGAAGATAATTGAATCTTAAAAAATTATTATAAAACAATTCTAATAATTAGTTTTTAAAAATATTTTAATGTAATTTTTCGAAAATAATTAAATTCCTTAAAAAAAATTTTGTATAATTTAAAAAACTAATTAATTTTTTTTTTAATTTTAATTAAAAATTTTGAACTTTATTGTATTCTCCAAAATGTTAAAAAGAATTCTAAAATGTTATTATTTTTGTATGTATGAATTGAATTTTTGGAATTATGTAATTGAAAATACTGAAAACATTGAATTATAAAAAATTAGAAGCTAATTTTCATTAATTTTCATTTTTAAATTTACCTTTAAAGATTTTTCATTAAAATTTTTGATATTTCAATTATTTTCAAAATTTGCAATTAAAATTCTTCAAAAATTGATTTTTAAAAATTGTAAATAAATACTTTAAATACTTGGAAGAAAAGTCGAAAAAGTCGCAATTTTTGAAAATAAGTCGAGAAAATTCTCAATTTTCTTAATTTCCCTGACAAAAATTTTTTTCCTGACATTTCCCTGACTTTACTGACATGAGGCCACCCTGATAATGTCGAATATTTAATTTAAATAGGAAAGGAAATTATAAATCAATTTTATATCTGTTACAAATTACTTTTAATTAAACTTTTTCTAGGCACTGGGCTCACATTTAATATCTATTTTTTTTTATTGTTTACTCTTTATCTAAATTAGACTTTTGAATTTATTTTAGGTAGATCCAAATGAAAGTCCTATAGAGTGGGAATATTTTGAAATTCTTCACAATTTGGATAAATTACAACCAGCTTGTAATAGACGATGCCCGAAAGTATCTGATGCTCATATTGACGTTGCTAAAAATAATTTAACGAAGATGAGAGTTTCGCTTGCAGTGCAAGTATGATTGAACATTGTTCTATAAATTTTGCAATTGTGCTTGATTTAACATGAATATTAATTTTTTCAAATCATTTGTTCTAGATCTTAAGCAAATCTGTAGCTGAGGGTTTACGCTTTTATAGACCATATGAGGACCGTTTGAAGAATTCGGAGTCAACTGCAAAATTTTGCGAAATTTTCAATAATTTATTTGATGCTCTGAACCGAACATCTGTTAACACAGGGTTGCATCTAGGCTGCGCCGATTTTGAAGTAAATATATTTCTGGTCTCTGTAACAGCTGATAAAATATTTTTCAGTTTTTCTACATTTTAACACCTCTTATAATTTTAGGTTCTTGAAGAAACTTTAAAATGGTTAGACAAATGGGAAAAAAGAGTGGCAGATAAAGAAATTGATTCCCAATACTTTCTTACAGAAAGTACAGCCAATGGTATTCGAATGACTATTCACTCAACAATATCATTGGCTAATTATTTATTAAAAGTAAAAAAGTACAAAGAAGTGCTAACGGGAAAAATTAATCAGGACCCTCTGGAGGTAAGTACATAAAAT